ATATCTATATATATTGATATATACGATTTATATATATATATTATAGTATTATATATATATATATATATATATATATAAAAGAGAAGAGAGAGGAGAGAGAGAGAGAAAGAAAAAGCGAGAGTGGATATGAGGGTGAGAGTCAGGAAAAACGCGAGAATCACACAATCACTCTGTAGTCGGCGTCGAAACACCGATGGAGTATTTTATTGCAGTGACCGCATGTACGATACATCGCCTTATAAAGGCTGATTAATTGCTGCCGCTGGCATCATGTACAAGCATCACTCGCCCTAGCTTTTATTACTATAGCCCGCGTACAGTTGCCGCAGAGCTATAGTATTAGAGCTACACTCGCCCGTGCCCAGTGGCTCCGCACGTACTACACCGAAGGCGGGTCTCTGCGGGTACGCACGCATACGCACGTGTCAATCCCGGGAAATCGTTTCAATCAACGTTATGACACGTCCCCCACGCGCGAGAACCGAGGGGGTATGAATCGAGATAACTTCCCACGCTTTTGAACATGGCGCCCAACGCGCTAATGCGTTTCACAAATAAGCGTGAAAATGCTCGCCAGTGAAGCGGTGATATAACGTGAAGGGAGAGAGGGGGGGAGGTAGAGGATTGGGAACGGTAGATAAAGACGTACGCGCTACTAGCGATGAAATCAGAGATGTTGCTGTAAATCGCAATCGATTGAGAATTTTAAAATGATAAATCTAAAATTTAACTGATACCATAGATATATACAACACATGTGTTGTATAACCTATTATGTATTATTTTATTGTATGGCTGATAAGGTTAGATATATACGGTATTTAACTGGTGGTGTCATTGTGGAAATTTATCTTATATTTAATTCAACATTGAATCAAATAAGACGTAAAAAATCACCTGCATGCGTGTGACGTAATCAGAGCGCATGCAATCAGCAGACGCAACACGCAACGTAACATGACGTCACACGACGATCGTCACCATCTGCGTCGTTGCATGACGTCATACGCAGCAACCGTGCGCCGCCTGCGGTCGTAGCATGACGTCGCACGACAACCGTTACATCTGCGTCGCAGCCGATGACGCTCAACAGACATCTGTCACGCATCTCCGTCCGTAGCATGACAGCTCACACGACAATCGTCCGTAACGGACGTCACAGAAAACGACCGTCGACTGTCGTATACAGAAATGAAACAAAAAAGTGTTGTTTTTTTCTCGCGGGAATACTAAAATCCTTTTCGCGCTCCGACGAATCACAGGGTGCTCTACTGCGCATGGCGCACCGATTTGGCGAACTTCATCACGTCTGATTGATGCTGTCGACACGAGTTGTATCGTTTTAGTATCAGCTATGGTAATTAGCTGTCGGCCGGACGCTCGCGCGCGATGTCACTCACGACGATAATATAATCGCAGGGAGAGTGCGCTGAATTGTGTGATTAATATTTTCATCGTCCGAATGGCTCATGTCGAAGACCATTATTTGGAAATTGAAGCGCGCCTGCCAAGCGTGCGCCTCGGTGTCTGTGGCTGTCTGTGTGAGGTGTGTATGTATATGACCAGCTCGCATCTGGGTGCAGCCTACTGAGGCAACATGCCTAATGTGCGGCAGCGTATTAAAACCCAGCATTGCATGCTTTCAAATAAGCAAAGCTATATACGTGTATATCTATGTGTATATGTATAATATTAATGTATATGTATATGTAATTAATGTATTGTGTATATGTTGTATATGGTATATGTATATGTATATGTATATGTACTAGTAATGTATATGTATATGTATATGTGATATGTATATGTAATATGTATATGGTATATGTATATGTATATGTAATGTTATTATGTATATGCTATATGTATATGTATATGTATATGTATATGTATATGTATAGTGTTATGTATATGTATATGTATATGATATAGTATATGTATATGCTATATGTATATGTATATGTTATGTATATGTATATGTATATGTATATGTATATGTATAAATGTATATGTAAAAAATACTGTATATGTATTATGTATATGTACTATGTAATATGTATATGTATATGTAATATTAATGTTATATGTATATGTAATATGTATATGTATATGTATATGTATATGTATACTGTATATGTATATGTAATATGTATATGTATATGCTATTATGTGTATGTGTATGTGTTATGTGTATAGTATAGTATGTGTATGTGTATGTGTATGTGTATGTGTATGTGTATGTGTATGTGTATGTGTATGTGTATGTGTATGTGTATGATGTATGTGTATGTGTATGTGTATGTGTATGTGTATGTGTATGTGTATGTGTATATATGGTATTGTATATTGTATATGTATATGTATATGATATATGTATATGTAATATGTTATATGTATATTATATGTGTATGTGCTATGTGGGATGTGTATGTGGATGTATATGTGTATGTTATGGGGTGTATGTGTATGTTATATGGTATATGCTTATGTATATGTATAGTATATGTATATGATATATGAATAATGTATATGTATATTGTATATGTATATGGTATATAGTATATGTATATGTTATTATGTATATGTATATGTATATGTATATGTATATGTATATGTATATGTATATGTATATGTATATGTATATGTATATATATATGTAATATTAATGTTAATGTTGATTATTGGCGGCCATGGGAGCTATAGAGTGCCTCATTCTGGCCGTGTATAGATGCCATGAGCTCATTCGTGCTCATTATGCCCTCACCAGCGTATGATATGCAGTTAACATCATTTCGATACAATGCAAGAATATTATTGAATAGGTAGAGATAACATGCAGCTTCATCGGTAGGTCCTAGGGGGCTTTTTCTGTGATCGTAACATCTAGAGTATATTACTCCTTTCTATGCGTGCTCTGATCGCTTGGTCTCTCACTAATCGTTACCCTTCTGCCCGCTAAATTCCAACTCTCTCTGTGACACCGGGCACTGTTTGTTATTCATCGTTGAACGCACATCAGACGCTTAGTAGTAGTTAAGTAGTAATGTAGTTAGTAGTAGTGATTAGCTTAATAGCTGATTCGCTCGTGCGATTTCATCTGTGACGCGGAGTATTGGATATAAGCTAGTGGTTTCAGCACGTCGTTGTGAGGGCGTTGCCGCCAGGATGCTGGTTTGGCGCTTGAATGTTATTGGAAGGAGTCGCTAAGAATGTGGTATGTATTCTGGTAGTCGTAGATGCTGGTATATGTTCCGATAATTGTAGATGTGGGTATGTTATCTGTTAGTCGCTATGGAATGTTGCGTATGTTTCTGTTTAGTCCGTAAGATGTGGTATGTTCCTGGGATCGTTTAACTGGCATCGTAGATGTCAGGTATGTTTCTGCTTGAGTCGTAGAGATGTGGTATGTTTCTGTTAGTCGTAGATGTGGTATGTTCCTGGGGGGTTCCTGGCAATCGTAGATGTGGTATGTTTCTGTTAGTCGTAGATGTGGTATGTTCCTGGGGGGTTCCTGGCAATCGTAGATGTGGTATGTTTCTGTTAGTCGGCTAGATGATGCTATGTTTCGTTAGTCGTAGATTGTGGTATGTTCCTCGGGGGGTTCCTGGTAGAAATAGAGAGACCGAGGTTCGAGGCACCGGTGGTGTAGAATCGTGTGGGGCGCGATGCCCCGCGGCACGTGTTTGCAATTCACGTCGGGATTCCGCCCTCGGTGGAAGTAGTCGTCTGGGATGTACGTTAATTAGAGCAAAATACGTTGGAGCTGGCGAGGTGGCAGGGCGCGATCGGTGAGGCAGGCGAAGGAGGTTAGTAGGTGATGTAAAAGGGAAGGTGACTGTTGTATCGCGCAGGAGTGTGTCGGCACACGTGGCACGCGCACACCGATTGGGAGTCTCCCTCCCCGCGCGTAAGACAGGGTTCGTAGTGGGTCTTCCCATCGTCTTATAGATAGCTTATTTTGCCAAAAATAAAATAAGGGGCCCTGTTTAGCTACTTATTTTGCCGTGATGATCTGGTAGAAGTAATAATAGTCTTATTTGTTCTCGGACGTCTTAGAGTAAGAATTGTCTGATATGATTATAGATACGGAATAATGAATCTGCTCTGTCTGTAGTTCGCGATGCTATAATAATATTTATTAGGTACTTTCAATCAGTCAGTTGATCTTATCAAGAAATCGCGTAAGAAAGTGCTGATTTTGGACCTCCAGAAAGGGTCTTATACGTCCTTGATATTCAAGCTGTCTTAAGCTACTATGAACGCCCTGTGGGTAAGAGCATCGAAGAGACGAAAGTTAAGCGGCTTCCGCAGCGCCGAGAGGGCCAGCAGATTTTCGCGTTCTTTGGGATTACTCCTCGATGTAGCGTCTTCTATCTCTCTCTCTTCTCTCTTCAGTGGGTCAGCAGACTAATTACTGATTAATCTCCATCCGTCCCTGGGTTGCTTCAGATGTAGTTTAATTCGCAGCAGTTTACTCTTTTTTTCAACAATCGTTTGTCAACAGGCGTGGGTCGTTAGCAAAGTGTGCGTGAAAATGGCCGCGGACGTGACAAGATGTAGGAATACCATGAATGAGGGCAGAGCGGTGTCACGCTGCCCGGCTTTCTCGATGTCGAAAAGCGCCAAGCCTGAACTATTAAATGTATTACACTGAATATAGGGAATATAATGCTGAGGTATATAAACTGGTGAGACCGCAGGAAAGAGTAGAGAAGGGATGATTCGCCGTAGATCGTCTTGAGCTATTGACAGGTAGAGGGAATATAATTACTGTGATATGGAGTATAGATGTAGGGCTGGGTACATGATCGATGTAATGGGGTAGGAATACAATTGCTGGAGCTATAGGCCGACACCGGCGGGTAGCGTGGAACCTGACTGGAGGAACAAACGTGCAACTGACAGTGACTTCTTACTCACAGTCTGCGTGAGTGAACGGGACAACCTAGTGAGCTGTTCCTTAGACTGCCCCCGTTTGCGTAGTGTCGCATCGCGTTACAGCGACAGCTCTTCCTAAGAACGAACGGCATAGTCTTACATGTGCACTCAACTAATGTAGGAAGTTGCAGTGAACTTCGGTGCGTTGCCCAGCTGAGATACTAGCCTAGGCCCACGCCAGGCACAGCTTCTTCAGCTGCAGTGGCCACAATGCCCGCTCCTGTCGGTTCGCGTGCCCATTAATAAAATGGCTTTCAGAACCGATGACACAGAAGGAAGAGTCCGATTATGTCGCTTAACGTGGACTGTTGTGCTGCTATGCATTTGGCTGCTGCTCGCTGCTTAGCTGCTGCTCATGCTTGCGCTGCTGCTGCTTAGGCCATGCTTGTAGGGTAGAATCGCGGGGAGGCAGAGGAAAGACCTCGTGATGAGAATGATACAGTTGTTCAGGTTAAGGCTCTCTCTTTCTCTCTCTCTTCTCCTCCTCTCTCTCTCTCTATCTTCTCCTTCCTCTGCTCGCTCTCTCTCTGGCTACCCTCTCTCTCTCTCTCTCTCTCTCTTGCTATCGCGCGCACTCTCTCTCTCACTCCCTGCCTCCTTCCCTCCCTCCGTTCTTCCCTCCCTGTTTCCCTCCCTCCCTCCTCCCCTTCCTCCTCCATCTCTTCTTCCTTCCCTCCCTCCTCCACCCTTCCTCCCTCTCTGTCTCCCTCCCTCTCTCTCTCTCTCTCTCTCTCCCTCCCTCTCTCTCTCTCTCCCTCTCCCTCTCTCCTCCCCCTTCTATCTCTTCTTCTTTTCTTTTTTTTCGCTGAGCCACTGAAGTGGAGGCTCAGTTGCCATGAAGCTATGTGACCGTGACACAAAAGATCGCTCTGTGGGAGGGGATGAGTGTGGTGTCAGTCTTAGATCTCAGCTCAAACTCCAGCCCGAATTTCAGCAATGCATGTAGAACACAATACGCATATAAACAGTCGTGGTCTAGTTAGGGATCGGGTGTAGGGGCAGTGTTAGGGTAACGATTATAGTTTAGGTTGGGGTTGCAGTGTGGGTTTGGCTTAGAGTTGGGAATCTTGAATCTTGTTATTATATTTTGGTGGGATAATTATCCTGACTTTATCTCCTCAGCTGTGATTTCTGTGCATTAATGAGTGGGCAGAGTTGAATTTTTCTCCATTCACCAGCAGTATTGTTTTTAGACGAGAAATAAATAGTTAGGCGTGTGATAAAAAATCATAAAAACGTGTGAGGGCTCGAGTCTCGTCTTTTCCTTTACTCCTTACCGCAGACCATTTGAGTACTTGGTATTATTTACGATCTTTGCCAACTGTATCGCGTTGGCTGTCTACCAGCCCTATGCAGGATCTGATTCCAATGAAGTCAACACTGCATTGGTGAGTGCCAGTACATTGGACGTCTCGCTTACCTATGTGTCGATGGTGTTCCCATATAATAAAATGCTAATCTGTTAAAATATATATTGCTCGAGTGGTTGATAACTTGATTGTATTTCACTAATAATACAACGATACACCTAGCGATGATAAAGTTTGGGTGCTCTTATTTCGTGATTAATTATGGCTTCTTATGGTGTCTTTATGGTGTCTCATGGCTCCTATCATTAATAACCCATCATGCTTTCATTTTGTCCTATTATAACATCAGTCAAATTTTGTCTTGCATACCATACCATTCGTTACACCGTAGTATTACACCTATCACTGCTCCTTCCATCCTTGTTGCTCACTTCTTACACAATTCCTTTGTATAACAGGTGACACATACACACTCTTCACATCTAGCATTATAAACAGAATGTCACTAATCGTACTTCTCTACCTTTTCCTAGGAAAGTGTCGAGTACGTTTTTCTCGTGATATTCACGTTGGAGGCGTTGTTGAAAATAGTGTCGTATGGCTTCGTCATGCACTCGGGAGCGTATTTGCGGAACGGCTGGAACATGATAGATTTTGTCATCGTTGTTATAGGGTAAGTCAATCATATCTGTCTCCACTCTACCTCTTCTCTTCACATTAATGTAACCTAAATTGCCCACAACTATGAACTTCCTTGATAATATTCTGCTGGGTATATAGTGAATTTGGCTCTTTATATATTATTATTTTTGTATTCTTCTACTATCACATTATTCGTTCCTAGTGAATTCTCGTTCACGAGTGTTTGTATATATGTAATCCAGTGTACAGTGAGAGAGTGTCAAACGATTATAGGGGGAGATTAGATTCTCACACATGATTTTTTTCGATCAGTGCCCTCATCTGTTAATGTCGATTCGTGGAAGCCAATGCGTGCTACTGCCCCCATCACACAGCTGTGCATGCAGCCGCGGATCATTTCACAGGAATTCAAACCTGCAGTGTGTTGCAGGGGAATTAATACTATCTGCATGCACATATATACATACAGCAAACATGAAATAAACGTCTCCAGCTGATAAGGGCAGGACTTCTCCTCGTGCAGTGTTCCTGCCTTCGTGCAGTGTGTAGTATTAAAGAATGATATCCTACGAGCTCTCAATTTGGCTGAAAATCAAGACGTACAAGACCGGGGCGGGGGGGGGGTTGCTGGATGTTCAACACTGAATCTAAATTCGTCTCTACTGTATGTATATATGTACGCGCGTAGCTCCCCACGTTTGATAGACAAAATATATCGTATGCCGCGAGACTGTAAAGCGTTGAAGTGGGAAACCTGAAGCTGCAAAAACGGCTAGAGTTTCAGCATGCATAAAGTGATTGCTCGTAATTAGCCTAATACTGAAGATGTAGGAACCAGTTTGGGAAGAAAAGAGGGGTCGAGATGAGAGGTGGGAATATAGACGTGAAGGGTGAGACATATACAAGGAAAGAGAAGGAGAGACAGACATACTGAGAGAGACAGAGAGAGAGAGAGAGAGAGAGAAAGAGCGAGAAAAAGACAGACAGAGACAGGGACCATGACAGAGACTGGGAGGATCGATGGAGGGCCCACATGTAAAGATAGCATGTGCAGATAAATAAAATTATAATATCTATCTCAATTATGACACAAGTTTATTAAGTGTTTTTTAACTTTATTAGTAAATTAAATTCACAAAGTAATTTGTGATGTCAAAAGCTATGTAAATATTTGTTGCCGTATGTAAATTAATGCCGTTGTATTTTAATTCTGTTTAATTTTCTTTACAGTTTAGTTAGCACATCGTTACAAGGGAAGTTCGATATAAAAGCTCTCAGAGCATTTAGAGTGTTACGCCCACTGCGTGTTGTATCCAATGTTCCTAGTAAGTGGCACGCACCATTCTCTATGACTGTACGCATGCCATCGGTAGGGCCAAGTCTGGCACTTGAATGTTGTCTAGCTTTGCTACAGGCATCATTGAAAGCTATACTACCCCTTGCATGCACTGACCTGTTGAGGAACTAAAATATTTCTTTCCCATCGGCTGTATGCTACCCTAGATTAGGCTATTTAAACCCCACGTGGTGCATACATGATTAAAGGTCGTCTGTTCAAACAGTGTTAACATAAACGATTAAATTCTGAAAACGTGGCTCTACTAATCAGCATAAAGAAAGCCTGTGTGCTAGTTTGTCGTTGGTGTTTCAGTGTGTGTTAGTGAGCACTGCATCGTGGTGGATATTAATTATTTTTGTAGATAACTTCAGCGGGATGCTGTCATGAAGTCATTGCGTTGCGAAGAGTCATCTGTATAAAAATTTACTAATGAGCCTCATTTGGCTAGCGAGGAGAATTGAGAGCGTTGTACAATCAATGAAATTTCAGCACTGCTTGACGTTTTTGTGTTAAGATCAACCCAAGTGATCCTTGATTCAAAAGCGATTGAAACTCTATACCGAGCATTGTTCTAGGTTCAACACAGCTCTTTTCAACAAACAGCACATCGTGATGTGCATAGTTTGTCTTCCTATCCATCACCACCCTGTTCAGATTTCTATATCGATCATTAAGCAACTTGAAATAAAAGCAGTTTCCTAGACGTTTGTTTACACAGTCACGTATTCTGCAAATTAGTGTTTGCTGAAACCTGTGAAATATGACCTTCATCAATCTCCTTCTGTCTGCTCCCGTCGCATGTGCTTGTTTCCATGGTAACTATACTGCTGGTGTATGTATTTGAAGTTTTAACCGGTTCAATTAATATACTGTGTATGCTTGAGCCTTGAGTAATGAAAAATAAATTTTCAATTGGATTTCTATTGAGCACGTCTGCATACATACAGCACATGTGTTTAAGCAGGTAGGTAGTATTTCTTGCCTGCATCCATTATTATTATTTTATAGCACTGTTTGTTATTGCACACAATCTATTTATATATGCATGTGATTCTTTCAAATGTGTCTGATATTCTTATGAAATTCACGTATATGGTTTGGCAGTGATGTTGTTATTTTGCTACCCTATTGCTGTAAATATTGTTGATTAAGAGGATAATAGGTGACGTATGATATGTATTCAGCTGTTTGTTATACAAGCCCTCACCGCACGCGTGTACCACCACATCCACCATGAGTGTAGTGGGTGATGTATTGACCGATATAACTGGATATTCCTTTGTAAGAACCCATCGTAAACACATTTCTTTAGCATCGTGATGCATCCATCTCATCTGTAAACTATAATAGGTTTCCATCGCATTGTTAAGCTCTCTGTACATGTACCAACGGGGATTTATCAGGAGTTTATTGGCGGTTACGGCCGGTGATTTCACAAGCTCACACTGCCTTTTATGGTCACGTGCATTTTTTGTTCTTTTTCAGGCTTACAGGTAGTTTTAAATTCGATCCTGCGGGCGATGGTTCCGTTGTTACACATCGCCATGCTCGTTATCTTTGTCATCATCATCTATGCAATCATAGGACTGGAGCTGTTCTCAGGGAAACTTCACAATAGCTGCTTCAGTAACATCACTGGTGAGAGAGGGAGAGAGAGAGACACACACAGAGAGAGAGAGAAATAGGTGCGAGCGTTGGAAATTAAAGTCGTGTAGGGGAAAGTAGTAGGTATATGTCAAAAGAAAGAAAAGCATACAGTGTGTGTTTGCGAGAGATAGAGGAAGGGAGAGAACAGTGGGGAGAAGGAAAAGAGAATGGTGAGAAAGATATTGACAGTGGGTGCGTGTGAGAGAGAGAGAATGGGAAGGAAGAGAATGGTGGGAGCGATTACGAAAAATAGGCCTAGAGAGAGAGAGGAGGCGAGAAAGAGAAAAAATAAGCGCCAGTACTAAAACTGACAGTTTTACAGACTATATCGGACCAATACAGACTAAAACTCCGAGAGTAACCAAGGAAGCGCCGGGAAGTAGTGACGGTGGTTATTTGCTCTCTTCTCGTCTAAGTACGGAACCTTCGCTTATTCTCATGTCATGTCGCGTATCGTAGTTAACCAATCCAAGTGACTGTGTTTGTGTTTTCAAGAACGAGAAGGTGGCGGGCGCCGACGTGTGCCGCGGGGTGAGCATACGCATCAAGTCTGCCGGTCCGCGGCTGGTCATCTGGGTGGCAACGCCGCTAAAACTGCTGGTGAGTTACAAACACACACACGCACCGTCTCGGTAGCGCCGAGTGTGTGTGCCGTAAAGTGTTAATATCGCCGTGAATAGCCGCGGAACGTTTTCGGGTCGAATATAACGTGCGAAATTACCTTACTAATAATTAAATTAATAAATTGTGTTATTTAATAAAGTAATTAATAATTATTAATTAATAAATCGTTAGTGAATAAATTGCGCTATTTTATTCGCTCTCTGTGCTATTCGCAGTGGATTCGC